AAAAAATCGCAACGACTCAGCCAAGAGGACACTTTTTTTTTTCTGGTCTCGAAATTTGAAAATTTGACTATTTGATCCGTTGGGGGGGGGGGGTAGGTCACCTTTTTTAGGTCAGCCATTGGTATAATTTTAAATTGGTATAAATTTTAATTATAAAAAAAAAAAAAAAAAAAAAAATAATAATAAAAAGGGGGGGGGGGGTTTCACAAAAATCATACACAAAACATACACATAAAAAAAAATCAAGGGGGGGGGGTTTAACCCCAAACCCCCCCCCCCCCCTGCATATGCGCCTCCCCCTCTCCCTCCCTCCCTCTCTCTCCCTCCCTCCCCCTCTCTCTCTCTCCCTCTCTATGTCACTTTCATCCCTCTCTTTCCCCATCCTCCTCTCTCGATTTATCTCTTCTTTTTCACAAACAACACTATAGTTAACTTTATTGATATCTTTTGTACACACACAGTTCAATCCAAGATTCCATTTTTCATTTTTTATAATCTTAATTTTTTATTTGTGATATCACAACAAAAATATGAATAAAATGAATGGTAATCTGGTAACATAATCATCATCAATTAACATCTACTGATCAAAATATACAAGGAGACAGATGGGCTTTCTTTTTCTTTACTTTGTCCATTTTATATATAATATGTGTCCAACTCAAGTGTACAGATACAAACAACACTTCATTTCCCTGCACAAGGAGCACAATGTCTATAAAAACTACCATGCTTAATACATTGCCAGTTATACATTGTTTCAAAAAAAAATGCAAGGTGGGTTTCTTGATAACTAAGAAAGCAGTGGTATAGGAAACATTAAAAATAAAAATAGACTTCATGTTATTATTAGCTAATCTTTAACCTTTAGTAATCATATGATTTGTTCCACTGGGGTGTCATCTCAAATTCGTAGTGGGGACATATCATCATTAGTGGAGTCGAAAATGACCCCCTATTTGCAGACTTTCAAGAATATTTTCCATGAAATGTGACCCATTTTTGCCCAATGCAAGGTTTAGAATGTGCGCTAAATATAGTCCTATGTTTGGCTTATTGAGTACAAACTCACAAAAAGTATCCCATTTTGAAGGAAATCTGAGTCACAGCTTCCATCTTGAAATATATGACCCTTTTTCTATCAATTTCTTGTTCTTTATAGAAAAAAAATTGTCCCCTTTTCAAATTTATTTTCTTCACATTTGCAAACACTGAAATGCGTGCGATTGTAGTGAAAATTAACCATATTTTCACGAAATTTCGAACTATCATGCCTATACAATGCCAATATGAATTGACACCACCAGGGTTTGTTGCAGCATTTTATCAATTTTCACTACTTCTTACCAACTAGTGGAGAATACCTGTTGCTATTTTTATAAAGAAAATACCTCTTATCCCCAAGTAAATAGTGATAATATTCTATTGATAGCAGCAATTCTAGTAAATTTTGTATAAAACATATCATTATATAAATATACATGTATCTATATCTAAATATACTATTTCATCTCCACCACATGCACAAACTCAAACATTCTCCTTAGTTTCATAAGAAATATAAGACGTTAGCTTTATCTTTATGTAAACAATACAACATACAAGCACTATGCAAATACAGTGTAGTGTCAATGTTTGTTTTTTCCCTGCAAGGAATCGTTGTCATATAAATCATACATGTTGAATACAAATTATTATACAAATAGTCCCGAGAGATAAATGTACAATGGCTAAGGAAAGATAGATAAAAAATGCCAAGTATATAATAAAAATTACGATGAGATATCCATTTACCGACAAACCTTGAACTTTGGGGGTTATTATGAGAGAGGGATTAACACCCCTTTCATGTTAGGGGTAGACAAAGGTCGAGCCTGGAATCGGTCGGGACTTAAAAACAATTATGTACCTCTGTCTGCTATACTGCATACATTACACAAGAAACATCCCCAAAACACCTGGAAAAAAACATGTATTAATCTCCCTGCCACTAAAAGTAACACCATTCTATTCCCCCAACCTCCCTCTGAAAGGCAGGGTATTCTACTTCACTACTTCAGATTTACGTATACTGCTCACAATGTCCTGATATCCCACAATATCCCCCAAGGCATGTCCCACAATGCATTACCAACTGCATGACGCGAGCGTGATGATGATTAGGTACACAAACCAGAAATTACTCAATAATAATAATAATAAGAATGTTTTATTTACCCAGGGTAGCCACTTCAGTTTATGAAACTGCTCTTCCGGCGGGCCCTGCATAACATAATATGTTATTACTACCCTTCTCCAATCTAATATGCTGAGCGCCTAGATAGAAGGCAGGAGGTCCCATTGTTATAAGTCTTTGGTATGAATCGGCCGGGGTTCGAACCCACGACCTCCTGTTCATGAGGCAGGTGCTCTAACCACTGAGCCACTATGCCCGGTCTCGAAAGATGGTGTAATTGGAAATACACAACAGCAGTGAAAGTGATGTTGATAAAATGCCTGCCTTTGAATTATGAAATGGAGCGATATCCAAGAATAAGTAGAAAAACAAAAAGCAATCAAGATCACAACATACCTGTTTTTAATTATATCCTGATTCAAGGAATCATATGAAAAATGGGAACCAATGCCAGCATTGGCTTCATATAAAAATGTTAATAATAGTACCCTTTTATTTAAAAAAAAGTTCATAATGCTGATGATATTAAACATTATTTGTGCAAACATATAGTAGATCATTTAAGGGCAACCAAGAGTTGATAACAAAGGTAGTTTTGAAGGATAGCAGACAAAAGCAGAGTGACTGATTGTGCAAAGTTTAAACAAAACTGGATAAACAATATAGAAGAGTTCTGAATTTTTTGCAGTTGAGATCACTATAAATATCAGTACTTCAGACTGGTGAATTAATATGGTCGCTGTTTTGTAGTATTGGACAATTTCTCCACTTGTTCTAACATAAGAAATAACCTAGCAGAATCAATTCATTCTGTAGAGGATCTACCACAACTTCCCATCAATAATACATTCTGTGTACAGTTCCATGTGCTTGGGTGAGAATTGAGATTCTATATTTCGCATTTCTACACATGGAAGAGTGGTCCAAAAATGGTGTTACAGTGAAAGGACCACTATGCCAATATGAGACCTACATACATTTAACATTTAGTTAAATCTCGACATCCACATAATTTTTTGTTTACAGTACACAGATATATATATTATAAGTTTTAATATGATATGTAAAATGAGTTTAATCTTTTACAGCATAATAAAGATTGGAAGTATTTCAGAAAAGGCTGAAACATTACACAATTTTAGAGATTCAATGAACCCCTCGGAAATGTCCTTAGGTTCTGGAAAACTAGGAAAAGCACAATGTACCGGGAAACAATATGATGCGACAAATGCCCTAGTTACAATATATACATTTTTTCCACAAAATTCAGTACGGAATGAAATGACAGCGAGGTGCAGAATACCAAAGGGTTTAAAAAGTATGTACTCATGAACAAACAAATATATACATACTTATACAAGAGCAATGTATCATTCATTTTGCTTGGGAGAAGAGGGGGAAGTAAAAATATGCATTACCGTATGTATCTCCAAACCATTATACACTATAAATTCCTATAAAAATACACCTAAAAAAAAAGATTATGAATAACCCTTGTATAAAACAACATAATTCATGATTCATGTGTATCCAACAGTACTATGCAATAAGAATATATGAAACATCTAATATCCATAAATCTAAATACAATTTGAATTTGAATTCGTTTAAAATTGGTATGTACACTATATACATTATATGTCCATACATGAATCTTCAATATCCAAACTACTGCATAGGTCTAATCTATTTCTACAGATCGATTATGCTGGGGAGTGTTTCACAAAGACTAAAATCGACTTTAAGTTGGACTTTACTATGGCAGGCCTTTCATGCCACTGTTTGGTCTCACCATTATGATCTTTAGATAATATTTTTTCCTTTAATAATGAATTATCAAAAAAAGGAAATTCTGTAGATATGTGACTGTGATTTTGTTTACGTCCCTTGAGAGACCAATGCCAGTAAATGGTGAGAGCAAACAGTGGCATGAGTGGCCTGCCATAGTTAAGTCCAACTTAAAGTCGATCTTAGTCTTTGTGAAACGCCCCTGAACCTTATCTTTAATTTTTACATTAAATCCTTTGTCTACTGGAACTGGGTTGCTCCTGTTTTACAGTGTAAGCCTACGGGAATGAAACATTTCAACTGGTTAAATTCTACATCATTTCAGGTGTCACTATACAGACCAAGCATGTCCAATGGGGTAACAGTACTGATTGAGATCCAATAATATACAACATGTTGAAAACAACAACCAGTAGTCTTGCAAGTGCTCACACATATACAGTCAAACCTGTCTATAGCCACCGCCCATGAGAAACACAAAAAGTTGTCTTTGTAGATAGGTTCCTTTAGTACATGTTTCAATGAGAAACCATTTTCAAGGGAAACAAAAAATGTGGTCTTTGTAGACAGGTGGTCTCTAAAGCAGGTTTGACTGTATACGTACCATTCATATCTTTTGACTGAAGAACATTGGTCTGAATTCACTGTGAAGCACCAGGCTTTGCCAACCACACCTTCATATCAGAAGAAGAAAAAAAACAAACATTTTTTGGTGTTTTTGTCCTTCATTCATCGGGGCTCATTTTAGATGTGCATCTGCAAAAGCAAGATTTCCTATAAACAGTGATGCTCATGTATGCATCTTTTGATCTTTCCGAGGGCTCTGTTTGGCCGTAAATATCTCCATACACACGTACCACTACTGCATGAAGGTCGATGGCAGGGCAGTCAACGAATCAAAAGTTCTCAGAACAGGTCTGAAATATTCATAGGACGATGGTATGGCCTGGCGGATGGGCAACACCCAGATGTAAAGACTGATCCAGTCCCAAAACATCTCCATACCTACATACCGTCCTTCTTTTCACGAAGTGACGGTAGTGAAAAAAAATTGCATTCACTTTGCGTTACGATTTTCCTCACTACCGTCACTTCGTGAAAACAAGGACGATACTATCGCTACATGTAGGTTGATGTGTCGTAAGGCTAGGGCGGTCGTAACAAGTCATAACAGGTCTGAAGTATTTATGGTTGGATAGGCAGCACTGAGATGTACTTTAAAAACTAATCCAGTCTATCGTAAAATGTTTTCATCAAAAGTCTATTTTCTTTGTCCAACGTCTCTTCTTGTGATCACCCAGCGAACATGCAGATGCATTTCTCATTATTACCAGCATCAAGAAGTAGTCTGTAAAGAAGAAATACGGATACAATGAAAAAAAAATGTAAAGACCAGATCAAAATATCAAATTAACTCTCGTCACGTATTTGTTTGAAAAAAAGTAGATGTAGTGGGTTTCAGTGCAATTTAATTTTGGATTTCTTCAAAACAACAAAATATGGGGACCTTATTCTTTGTAAAATATATAATGAATGTACTGTAATCCATTTAAGGAACAGGGTTAGGATTAATGTTACAAAAGAACAGCAGATAAAAATAGCCCAGAACAAGATAAACACCTGCAAATTTGTTTATCTTCATCAATCTCTAATCAAATGAAAGTTTATTGATTTTGTAAAAATGATTTTGGATAATACAGGTACGTGTTGTATAATAAGCTTCCATTATGATTCTACTATACTTAACTTTGTAATTAATCTTAGTATCATATTTGTTTATGGATTTAATTTTTATTAATATTTTTAACAGGGCCTCATGGAAAAACCAGCTTTAAAGGTGAAATGAGTTGTCCTGTGTAATAATCAGAATTGATTAATTGAATATATAAATAAAATAATTAAATGAATGAATGAAGTATTAATAAATGAGCAAAAAAACCAACAACAAACAAATAAATGAAAAAATAATCATATTACTAGATAAACAAAGGGATTCGCTCCTTCTTCCTTGTAATACAAGTTCTTTAATTAAATTGATGTTCCTACGTATAAATTGTATTGTTTGAAAAGATGTCAATATGTTGTCAAATTGAATGGAAGAAAATAAATGTTCATTTGAATTGAATCGAAACAGTTAACTAACTAATTAACTAACTAACTTTATGTATTAATTAATAAATAAACATTGAATAAATAAACTAACAGATAAATAATAAAATAAATAAATGACAAAAAAATTGGACATACTGGTAAGCCGTGTTCATGAATGGTGTAGGTCCACAAATGGCAAAGACGGGAGTTTCTTTGGGTCCATGCTTGGGTATCATCTTGCCCAGCAGGTCTTTACTGATGCGACCCGTGAGACCCGTCCAAGACGGCGCACCTTCAGCAGACAGGATGTGAGTGACTTCAAACCTGAGGGATAGTATCAGATATTGTGAAAATATTTAGTTAAGATCTGATCATGCGATTACATTAAGAAAGCAAATTCTGGAAAAGATTGAAAAAGGCAGATTTATGCAGCATAGGAGTCTTAGCTCAAATGTGAGTTTTGGAATCATTAGTACGATGAACAGAAATTGATCTTGTAAAAGTCACTCTACTTACTACTCACTCTACACAGGAATGTGTATATGGGATTACACAAATATGTGGCATGAGAGTTTGGTCCAAGCACTTTAGTAGATGCTTCTCGTCACATACTGAACATGAAGGCATAAGAAGAGCCATCATTTTCAGGGGACACGTTTCTTATGATATTCTTTCACAATGAGCATGTGACATATTTAAGCTTGCATCTAAAAGTATTCAACAAAGGCCCTAATTTAAATAACCAGTCCACCTTTCACTCTATATGTCTTCAATGATGTACATGTTTGTAAAACCACTTCAAATTCACTCCAAATTCAATTATTCAGATAGAATCATTTCTGACAGCTCTCACCTTCCTTTGCTTTGCTCTGCACACTCATCCAAATGTTCCCTCCATACAATATCCTTCTGAGTCTTGTTGAAGAAGAGGAGTTTTAATTTGCTGCATTTTCATGCACACGAAAAAGGGGAAAAGAATGCAAAATCATGTAGTAACAGTAGAAATTTTAGCTTCTTGCAGCGGTATACTACATGCTCCTCCATTGCATGGTTACAACGTAAAAGAAGCATAACAATAGAATAGAAGAGATGAGAGAGAGAGAGAGAGAGAGAGAGAGAGAGAGAGAGAGAAGGAGATAATGAAAGTAAGAGGTAGAAGGAAATGGGGACAGTCTTCATAATATGTCAGTGTACCAATTTTCTATCTTTTTAAGATAAGAGAAAAAAAAGAGGTGAGGAATGTATCTAACAAATTTATTTATATATGCTATCTGGTTTAGACACACTATAACTTCACCATAATATTAGACTTGAGTCTTTATTTACCTATCTATAAAATGAAAGTTTAGCTAACATTAAGCCTCATCAAGATTGGTATGCATTTCAATACAAACTCTTTATCCTAACCATGTGATTCTCCCTCTGTGTGACACGACTATGATTTTAAGCAATTATGCATTTTTAATTGATGCATCTTTTTTGTGAATAGGTTCCGTTTCAAGCACATTTCAATATGAAATACCGCTTCAAGGGCAACAAAAATACGGTCATTATATACAGGACGGCCAGGTGGTCTTTGTATTCTTTCCCGACAGGTGGTTTGCCTGTTTGACCGTGGTTGAGCACTTAAAGCCCGTCTGCACTAGTTTGGCCAGGAGGGATTAGACCTCCCTGCATGGTCACTGACAGGTGGTTATCTCATCAAATCAGCTCTTCATGAACATAAGAAAAAGGGGATCATGGGGGACCAACATGCACCGTTTAGACAGTGTTTGCTATATAGAGGGCGCAAGTAGCTATAAGTAGTGCAGTGGGGCTTTCAATTCTTGGGTGGGATCCAAGGCCCATGAAGTGAGGGGGTTTCTCCCACCCCACCCCACCCAACCCAACACCCCCTACCCATCATAATGAAAGTGTGGACTTTGTCATTATACCATTTGGAATCTTCAGCCAGGCCCATCTGTATAAGTTTAACCATGGGCGTGAAGCCCGTGCCTGCCGCGATAAAATAGACCACTGTCAGCTGCTTGTATGTACACTCGTGATCGAAGGTACCACTGTGGTTGCTCATCTCTATATTGTCACCTTTAAAGAGAAAATCAAGAGAAAAGACTCACAATTTAAAGCCGTCTGTTCTAGTTTGGCCAGGAGGGATTAGACCACCCAGCGTGGTCACTGACAGGTGGTTATCCTATCATCTCAGCTCTCAATTAACATAAGAAAAATAGGATCATGGGGGACCAACGGGCATCGCTTAGGCATTGTTTTCTATAAAGAGGGAGCAAGTAGCTATGTACAAGTAGTGCAGTGGGGCTTTAAAATTGCAATATTTGAACATGCGTGTAAACTTGAAAGAAGCATGATGATGTAAATCGTAACGGTATCGACAGAATTTGACATTAGATATCTAAGCATACATGTACCGCACATTAACAAGCATATCCCCCTCACCCCCTCCTTCTCTCTCTCTCTCTCTCTGTCTGTCAAACTCTCTATGAAAATCTCATTGTCTTGTGCTCATTATAACTTTACTTTGGCAAAACATGATTGTATTTTTCTTTCCTTCTCATTTCATCCTTATGACCCTGTGTCTCCCTGTGTCTATTTCTCTCAGTTTCACTCTCTGTTTGTCTGTCTGTCTCTGTCTGTCTCTGTCTTTATCTCTCTATGTCAGTACTTTTCATACTTTTCTTTAATCATCTTAACCATCGTGATCACAATAATCATCATCATCATAATCATCATCATCACCATCATAATCATATCCCCCACTACCATTAACTTCTTCATCATTAACTTGTCTTTCTCTCTCTCTCTATCTCTCCATCTCTTGTTCCCGCTCCCTCTCTCTCTCTCTCTCCATTTCCATCTCCATCTCCCACTCCCTCTCTCTCGCTCCCTCTCTCTCTCTCTCTTGCTCTCTCTCTCTCTCTATCTCACTCTCTCTCACTCTTTCTCTTTCTCTCTCTCACTCTCTCTCTCTCTCACTCTCTTTCTCTTTCTCTCTCGCTCTCTCTGAATACATTCTCTGCTTACCTTCTTTGAGAGTTGCTAAGTGTTGGGTGAACTGCCCCTGTGGATATACTTTGAGCATTAGGTGAACGCTGTTCCTGGAATTGGGTCCATCCGTCTCCTCGTCCCCGTCGTCCTTGAGTAGACTTGGGAAGACTGGTGTATATGGTCTGCTCACTTCTTCCCCTGTAACAGAACAAATCTCATGTGTGTTGTATTCACATTGATAACTGAGCCTATGGTCACATGTCACAAAGAATAAATATACAAAGAATACATGTCGTTTTCAATGTTATTAATTTTAATTCGTTCTTATAATGGCGCTTTTCAGGACCGCAGGCCCTCTCCCTGGGGAGCATTCCAGCCAGGCATCATTTTTACAAGTGCGCACTTGCTCATCTAACCACAATTACTTTCAAATCCTACCGGGTACCCATTTAACACCTGGGTGGTGAGTGGCAAATGTAGATCAATGCCTTTCCAAAGGACATTAGTGCGGCGGCGGGACTTGAACCACGAACCTTGTGATACACAGTCCAGTGACGAATCTACTCGACCACCTCTATGCATAATTGGCCTTATCGTCAAGGATTACCAGAGGAGGCCATGTTGCCAACTTATCCAAGATATGTGTGAAATCCTCTGGGGCTACAGCCCATGAGACCGACACCCCAGGAGACCGAAAATGCCAGTCTAATGGGCCTTCTGGACGATTTCTGAAGATTCAAAAGACCAATATGTCTTCTATTGACTTTTTCTATGTTCACAAGACCGACATTGTCGGTCTACTGGAATGTCCCGATCCTCAGAGTCAAACAAGTTAGAAGTTGCTTACCGTTGATGTTTGCTTTGAGATAGACATGATTTCCGACTGGAACTTTGAACTGTGTGCCCTCTGGAAGGTCAAAGGTCATCAGATACGTGTCGTGCGTGACGGCTGTCCGTTTACTCAGTGTACAGGATCTGAAGGCAGGCTCTGTTATAGATGAAAAACATATACAGTAAAGTGAAGATTGTATTAGATATACCAGCTTTCACATTGGTGATTTGATTTGGCGAGATCTTTAAAATATGACTGTGGCAATGTTAAATTTTAGATTTTCGAGAAAGGTAAAGGTTAGGGTTCAGGCTTGGTATAGTTGGTAAGTATTTGAAAATAGCCTTGGGGCATTCATCACCAGAGCATGCGTTGTACAATCTTAAAGTGGGAGGATGGATTTGTAAGCCACAGGTGAGAATTAAAATTTAAAAAATTATAAATTTGGAAGAAGGTAAATCATAAGAACTATAATAATATGATAGGTATACAATTATTTGGTCCACTGGTTGCTTTCTTACAAGTACAGACATGCAAAAAATTCAAAATCCTGATGTTGATGCCACAACAAAGTCTAAGTTTACAGATCTGAAATGACATTTGACCTTGACTTCGTCACCTAAAAGACTAATCACATGATTGGTGATACTTGATAACCCTTGTTTAAGTTTCATGGAATAGGAATGTATACTTTTTCATAACAATTCAAAATCTTAACCTTTGGAAATTTTTGGTGTTAATGCCACAACATAGTCTAAGTTTGTTGACCTGAAATGACCTTTGACCTTCACTTAGTGACCTGAAATTCTACTCACACAATAGGGGATACTTGATAACCCTTTGGGCCAAGTTTCATTGAATAAGAACTTATACTTTCAAAATTATATTAAAAATTCAAAAACTGAACCTTAGTTTTTGATGTTGACGCCGCCGGCAACAGAAAAGCGGCGCCTATGTCTTGCTTTTGCTTTGCAGGCGAGACAAAAAGTAAACATTACAATGAAGCATTTAAGCACCTTTTAATGGCCCTTGTAATGCACATGCAAGTACAAATGCTTGTTTATTCAAAGTGTGTCTTTTGTGTCAATGAGTATAATCTAACACTCACCATAATCGGTGGCAGGAGCTGTCTTCTTGTGGTCATCTAGAGGGAGCCCTAACGTTGTCCATTTGATGTTTGGGTTCTTCTTCTTCAGCCAAAGGTCGCATCTCATTGGCATATTACCCTTGCGCTGTGTTACTGTAGAGTGAGTCAGTCCGTAAATGAAAAGATTAGGCATAGTATTGTTATTGTAAATGTTGAAGCCTGCACTATGCAGTTACATTTTCATCTTCCCTTTTTAATAGACTGCAGGATTTCATTGATTGTATTCCATTCCAGCAGTCCTAAATTATACTCGGGACTAGATAATGTACATGATAAAAAACAATGATACAAAATTCAAACATTTCATTCAATAATATTCCTCTTTTACATGTATATAGCGCTTAATACATCGATGATGTCTGTAAGCACACACACAATGTATGCACATTCTCCACTCCCTGGGTAGCATTCCAGCCAGTCGTCATTTTACAGATGCTCACAATGCTGAGCAAACTTCATTAACTTCATTAACACTTGGGTGTAGAGGGGGACATGTAGATTAACGTCTTGCCAAAGGACATTAGTGCAGGGCTGGGATTAGAACCCTGGACCTTGTAATCTGTAATCAGGTGACTTATCCACTAGACCACAACACCTCTACAATTCAATGCTAGTTACAGACAGTAAGAATCATTACAGTATCTTAAAAAGATGAATTCATTGTTATTTCACATTCTTAAATTATGACTGGACTGATGTTTGTGAGCATGTTTTTATTTAGTAATTGAGAATTAATTTTTTCCCCTTCAAATTGTTGCAAATTCATTGAGAGTATTTTCATTCATAATAACAAGACTCTTGCACTAGCTATCATAGTAATGCGTATAGAGAACATGTTTGTTTGCAGTTTATGATATCTTGATTTAAAACTCAAACTGCAATTACAACAATTTCAGAATTATTGTGCACTACACAATATCACCTAAACAAAATAACAGTCGCATAGTCTACTTTACATCTCATAACACATTGGGTTAAGCAGCGGAAAGTACACACAAAGGCGTTCATCATGCATAGCACATTTTTATCTCCATATGCCATTCATTAACACTTATTGATACTTTGTTAGTGTCTTTTTCACCAGGCAGTTTACTGGGTCAAAAGAGAATGACGCTTAATGGAGCATGGACATGTTCAATGAGACATTTACATCTCATAACACATTGGGTTTTGCAGCAAAAATTAACACACAAAGGCATTCATCGTGCATAGCACATTTTCATCTCCATATGCCATTCATTAACACTTATTGATACTTTGTTAGTGTCTTTTTCACCAGGCAGTTTACTGGGTCAAAAGAGAATGACGCTTAATGGAGCATGGACATGTTCAATGAGACATTTACATCTCATAACACATTGGGTTTTGCAGCAAAAATTAACACACAAAGGCATTCATCGTGCATAGCACATTTTCATCTCCATATGCCATTCATTAACACTTATTGATACTTTGTTAGTGTCTTTTTCACCAGGCAGTTTACTGTGTCAAAAGAGAATGACGCTTAATGGAGCATGGACATGTTCAATGAGACATGTGCAGACATATCGGAAGCATGCATGACCTTGCTTGTGATAAATGATAAATTAAAGAGCTTAATTCAACTAGATGGAATTTTGACTGCGCGCAGTCGAAAATGATGCCTCCGCCATAGAGCAATTTAAACAAGTTTGGAGTTTAAATCTCCAGTGGTTCTTGAGATATCATGATAACAATCTCAATGTATGGAATTTCATAAGTTGACCTCTGTGACCCTTGACCTTTGACCTACGAGCTCCAAAAGCTAATCAGATTGTCTTCCTATGGTGATACACACTATCATTAAGTTTGAAGTTTAAATCTCCAGTGGTTCTTGAGATATTATGATATGGTGATACATACTATCATTAAGTTTGAAGTGAAAATTCTCCAGTAGTTCTTGAGATATCGCGATAACGATCTCAATGTATGGAATTTCATAAGTTGACCTCTGTGACCCTTGACCTTTGACCTACGTGCTCCAAAATCTAATCAGATTGTCTTCCTATGGTGATACACACTATCATTAAGTTTGAAGTTTAAATCTCCAGTGGTTCTTGAGATATTATGATAACAATCTCAATGTATGGAATTTCATAAGTTGACCTCTGTGACCCTTGACCTTTGACCTACGTGCTCCAAAATCTAATCAGATTGTTTTCCTATAGTGATACACACTATCACTAAGTTTGAAGTTTAAATCTCCAGTGGTTCTTGAGATATCATGATAACAATCTCAATGTATGGAATTTCATAAGTTGACCTCTTTGACCCTTGACCTTTGACATACGTGCTCCAAAATCTAATCAGATCGTCTTCCTATGGTGATACATACTATCCTTAAGTTTGAAGTTTATATCTCAAATGGTTCTTGAGATATCGTGCTAACAAACTCAATACAAGGAATTTCATAAGTTGACCTCTGTGACCTGTGACCTTTGACCTACGTACTCCAAAATCTAATCAGATCGTCTTCCTATGGTGATAAATACTATTCCCGAGTCTTAAGTTTAAATCTTAAATGGTTCTTGAGATATAGTGATAACGGTCAAACGGGACGGACCATTTACCATTTCGACCCGAAAGTTGTGATAACTCAAATTTTTCAATATTTGCCACTACGCCCCTTTCAAAGGGATGTGGGGGTCAGGATCCATCTTATCGCATGTATGTACTTTCATTATGGGGAAACTAGCCAATTCAAAAAATATAATATTTTCCTCCAAAATGCTGAACCACCCCGGCCCTTAGAATTTTGGCCCGAAAGTTGTAATAATTCAAATTTTTACAATATTTGCCCCTATGCCCCTTTCAAAGGGATATAGGGTTCAGGATCCATCTAATCGCATGTATGTATATTCATTATGGGGAAACTAGCCAATTAAAAAAAATTAATATTTTCCTCCAAAATGCTGAACCACCCCGGCCCTTACAACTTCGGCCCGAAAAGTTGTGATAATTCAAATTTTTACAATATTTGCCCCTACCCCCCTGTCAAAGGGATATGGGGGTCAGGATCCATCTAATGACATGTATGTACATTCACTGTGGGGAAACTAGCCTATTAAAAAAACACAATATTTTCCTCCAAAATGCTGAACCACCCCGGCCCTTACCATTTCGGCCCGAAAGTTGTGATAACTCAAATTTTTCAATATTTGCTACTACTCCCCTTTCAAAGGGATATGGGGGTCAGAATCCTTCGAATGGCATGTATATACATTCATTGTGGGGAAACTAGCCATTTCAAAAAAAAAAATATTTTCCTCCAAAATGCTGGACCACCCCGGCCCTTACCATTTCGGCCCGAAAGTTGTGATAACTCAAATTTTTCAATATTTGCCCCTAGCCCCCTGTCAAAGGGATATAGGGTTCAGGATCCATCTAATCGGATGTATATACATTCATTATGGGGAAACTAGCCAATTTAAAAAAAATAATATTTTCCTCCAAAATGCTGAACCACCCCGGCCCTTAGAATTTCGGCCCGAAAGTTGTGATAATTTAAATTTTTTCACAATATTTGCCCCTATGCCCCTTTCAAAGGGATGTGGGGGTCAGGATCCATCTAATGGCATGTATATACATTCATTATGGGGAAACTAGCCAATTAAAAAATATAATATTTTCCTCCAAAATGCTGAACCACCCCGGCCCTTACCGTTTCGGCCCGAAAGTTGTGATAACTCAAATTTTCCAATATTTGCCCCTAGCCCCCTGTCAAAGGGATATAGGGTTCAGGATCCATCTAATCGGATGTATATACATTCATTATGGGGAAACTAGCCAATTTAAAAAAAATAATATTTTCCTCCAAAATGCTGAACCACCCCGGCCCTTAGAATTTCGGCCCGAAAGTTGTGATAATTCAAATTTTTACAATATTTGCCCCTATGCCCTTTCAAAGGGATATAGGGTTCAGGATCCATCTAATCGCATGTATGTATGTATATTCATTATGGGGAAACTAGCCAATTAAAAAAAATTAATATTTTCCTCCAAAATGCTGAACCACCCCGGCCCTTACAATTTCGGCCCGAAAGTTGTGATAATTCAAATTTTTACAATATTTGCCACTACGCCCCATTCAAAGGGATATGGGGGTCAGGATCCATCTAATGGCACGTATATACATTCACTGTGGGAAAACTAGCCAATTTAAAAAAAAAAATATTTTCCTCCAAAATGCTGAACCACACCGGCCCTTACAACTTCGGCCTGAAAAGTTGTGATAATTCAAATTTTTACCATATTTGCCCTACCCCCCTGTCAAAGGGATATGGGGGTCAGGATCCATCTAATGGCATGTATATACATTCAATGTGGGGAAACTAGCCTATTAAAAAAACACAATATTTTCCTCCAAAATGCTGAACCAAACCGGCCCTTACCATTTCGGCCCGAAAGTTGTGATAACTCAAATTTTTCAATATTTGCTACTACGCCCCTTTCAAAGGGATATGGGGGTCAGGATCCATCTAATGGCATGTATATACATTCATTGTGGGTAAACTAGCCTATTAAAAAAATATAATATTTTCCTCCAAAATGCTGAACCACCCCGGCCCTTACTATTTCGGCCCGAAAGGTGTGATAATTCAAATTTTTACAATATTTACCACTACGCCCCATTCAAAGGGATATGGGGGTCAGGATCCATCTAATGGCATGTATGTACATTCATTGTGGGGAAACTAGCCTTTTCAAAAAATATAATTTTTTCCTCCAAAATGCTGAACCACCCCGGCCCTTACAATTTCGGCCCGAAAGTTGTGATAATTCAAATTTTTACAATATTTGCCCCTATGCCCCTTTCAAAGGGATATAGGGTTCAGGATCCATCTAATCGGATGTATATACATTCATTATGGGGAAACTAGCCTATTAAAAAAAAATAATATTTTCCTCCAAAATGCTGAACCACCCCGGCCCTTAGAATTTCGGCCAAAAAGTTGTGATAACTCAAATTTTTCAATATTTGCCCCTAGCCCCTGTCAAAGGGATATAGGGTTCAGGATCCATCTAATCGGATGTATATACATTCATTATGGGGAAACTAGCCAATTAAAAAAAATAATATTTTCCTCCAAAATGCTGAACCACCCCGGCCCTTAGAATTTCGGCCCGAAA